ACTGACGAACTTAAAAACCGTTGGCCAACTAACGATCTTCTAACATTACCATGATGCATAATCATTAGCGTATATCATAAATAACACAAAGTACATTAAGCTATAGCCCAATCTAGGAGTGTTTAACACATAACTCAACATTTATTAAAAAGAGATTACTCAAAATAGGACTAAAACAGTTTGAAAATTCCAAAAATAGGACTGTCATGTTTTTATTCCCAAAATATGACTAATTACTGCCATGTTTTGACAGTACCAGACTTCAAACATGGCAATATTTTCTAAACATGGCAGTAATCAGTCTTATTTTGGAAATAAAAAACATGACAGTCCTATTTTAGAATTTTGAAACTGTTTTAGTTCTATGTCGGGAACTTTCCCTGTTTTTAATATAGTAGATAGGTTAAGATAAGATTTCATTCACAAACAATCAGACCAGACTTACGCAGACTAGATCAGACTTAAACTTGTCAAATCAAATTTTGACAATTATAAATATACATAGATCGAAGATCGAACATCTGTTTGGTAAGATCAAACCAGACTTAAATAAATCATACTCCATATTAGACCAAACCAAACCAAACTAAATTAGGAAATTTCAGTGAAATTAGGATGTTTTTACTTGTACTGTAATTTGCTGTTCTGGTCTGGTCTGAACTGATCTGGTCTGGTATGATCTGATTTCTTTGTATTTTTATAACTATCCAAGTCTGGTCTGGACTGTATTTTTACTCGCGCTACTTTTGCATCTTTTTGTTTTACATCGACGTACTTTTCGTTGACATAAACAAATCATACGGAGTACTACGTATTAGTTTGTTAATAAAAATATTGTTGGTGCATGGTAAGTATTTTTTGTTCACTTATTCTCACAAACATTGAATAGCACAAATGAAACCTTATTCGTGTGAAAAAAACTTATCATCTAGCATTTTTTTTTTTGAAACAGCACCTAATTATTGTTGTGCAAATGTTATCAAGCAGTTCTGTCGGGCATACGGTTTACCCCCTTTCACAATGACTTTTTTGTGTATTAAAGGTTGCCGACACAAGTTTTTCCTCAAATTTATCAACACTTATTTCAATATTTTTGTTTTTAGTCATAATCTTCGTGATGCAAAATCAAGCCAAATAAAATAAAATGTGGAATTGTGGATGTTTATAATAGAGAAGTAGAATTACAAATGGAGTATTAGGGGTGTTTGAAATTGATTCCGTCTCTGCTTCTATTTTCAAAGCATAAATAGAATCGGAATAAGTTTTTGAGAAGCTGGTATCCCCGGCTTCTAGAAAATTTATTCTTGGCGCAATTTTGAACCATCGGAAGTACTTCTACACTTCTACTCAAACACGTCAATATTTGTTTCTGCTCCACCAAAAGCAATTTTAAGTTTAAATACTCCGTATTACTTTTCTTCGAGAAATTATTTATTGCATCCGTGTGGTGTTAGATGGAGTTATAGCGAAGATGAAAATCATTTGTGATGATTTGCCTGTAGCCACATTTTATTGGTAAGGGTATTTTACGACTTATATGCAAATATATGCAATCTCCATAGAATTAAAAACACGCAGTTTTAGTCTTTCAAAATGATGATTAAAGAATGGTCATACACTCATACGGTTTTAGTTTATATAACCACATGTCCACATGAGTATATAAATGTCAAAAGTGCTTGATTATTTCAAGAAAAGTCATAGTGTAAAAGAAATAAAGTTCAAGCGAAGAAGAAAAATTGAATCTCAGATGAAAAGTACTACTCCGTAGTCTTAGGGTATGTTTGGGAGTTTGGAGGGAAGAGGAGAAGAAAATTTTGGAGGTATGTTGTTGGAGGGGAAAGGGATGGGAGGGTGAGGAAACTCTTCTTTGTATTTGGGAGTAATAAAATTGGAAGGAGAAGGTTTTTGAATGAATTATAATTAAAATCACTTTGAGATATGACGAATTCAAATCATTGAGCTGATATTCAATTCTAATTTAGCTTAAATTACCATCTTGTTAATTTCCTCCAAACTCCCCTGAATTTGGGGAACTTAAAAATCAAGCATTTGGAAGGTTTTGAAGGGTTACAAAAGCCCTCCCAAACAATCCCCTCCAATTTTTTAAGCTCCCAAACATGAAAATGAGGGTTATAAATCCCCATTAACCTTCCCCTCTCCTCCAAAACCCAACTCCCAAACACACCCTTAATGATGGGTTTAATAAGGTTGATGATTTGGTTGCGTTTTTTGTTTTCTAGTAGTAGAACCGTGGAGTATAGGGTGGGGGATGGAAAGTTTGTTTTGATCATTTTTGTCTCAGTTATGCTTATTTTAGAATCAACTAGGCACAATGGAGGACCTAAGGGGGTTAGGTGGGGCACATGCTCCCGCTTCGAGCCCGAAATTTCACTAGTAGTACTTAGGATAAAAACGAGTGCCCCGCCTTCATACCAGTATTTGATAATTAAGATACTAAAATGTTACGGTTATATAAAAATAAGGAATTTTTTCAATTCACGGTCTGAAAGATAGATTCATTATCAATTCAGGATCTGAAAGATGAAACGTATCGGTATATGACCCGAATGATGAGAAACTATCAATTTAGGACCTAACATTTCATAGGTTTTGATTTGTTTAATTTTGTATTAATTTCATTACTAATTTTTGATAATTTTTTATTCACAAAAGTTTATAAGTTTAATAAAACTTAATAATATTTCAAAATTTTAAAATTAAAAAAATAATAAAATTTATGACAACTTAGGTCCTAGATTGATACTCCGTAGTTTTTAATCATTCAGGTCCTAAATTGATAGTTTTTCATCATTCGGATCCTATATCGATGCATTTCATCTTTCAAGTTCCAGATTGATAATTCATCAATCTTTCGTGTCCTGAATTGATAAAATTCTTTAAAATAAAAATGTAGAATTATAAATAAAAAAAATTAAGAATTGAAAACAAAAAGTAACAAAAAAGTTTAAATGCAAAAAAGTAGCCAATGTGCGGGCAACTAAAAGTACGGAGTATTAAAAGTTTAAAAACTCACTAACATTTGGAAGACTAGAATGATAAAACATAAGTTCTCCCATTTATGTGAGTCAAAGCTACTGAACCTTGCGGAGTTATATTTATGCAATTTTTCATTTGTTGATCGAATGGAGCTGAAAGAGCAACTTCAGGTGTGGATATATGAAATGAGAACAAATGAGTTATTTTCTGCCGTACAAAAACTATTGGTGAAGTTTTGAATTGTAAGAAGATGATTGAGCTTAAAGTTCACAATTCTTTTCACGTGATATATTGTCTGATTGAGTTGGATTTAATGTTACCAGTTGCAACGGCCACCATTGAAAGAGCCTTCTTTGTGATGAATATTATCAAGACAGATCTTCGCAATAAGATGAGTGATGACTATCTTACGGATTACTTGGTGTGCTACATCGAGAGAGATGTTTTTAGAAGCATCGATAATAAACTATTATGCAACATTTTCAGGATATGAAAAATCGTAGGCTCGATTTACCAAAGTTGCACCAGTGATCTATTTAATGTGTAATTAACTATTCTGTATAATTTAATACATTTTTTTAACCATCTTTATTACATTTGGAGTTTTTATTATAGACTAACTTTGGTCTCTAGTGTGCCTCGCTCTCACAAATCTCTGGGTCCGCCACTGACTAGGCATATTACTTCTTGGGAGAAATTTGAGGAATTTTAGTTTTTATGTAACTTGCATGAATTTTGTTTATTCAATATAAATCATTTTCTTCCCCAAAAACGTTAATTATTTGATGAAGCTTATGAACAAGCAAGCTACAAAGATAATCAAGATAGTACTGTATAATGAAATGCTTATCATTAGAACATGTGATTAAAGAACATTTTGTGATTAAAGATGCAATTGCTTTGTCATAAATCTATACATTTTGTTAGCTTCAAATCCTCAATTATTCAAGGAGCTGGTAATTAGAACAAGTCGATCGGGAAAAACTTTGAATGTCGATCATAACCATTCTTTTAAACTTTTATTATCATTTCAATGTCTACATCCCCTTTTTTAAAGCAACACTTACGGCTCTTAAAATCATTTCCATCCAATTAAGTATTGCTCGATCAATTTGGTACAGTATTATCTTCATCTCAAAATGATTTACAATCTTTACTTTTATTGACTAACGCAATTTCATTTTAGGGGTTGCTTCATGCATCCCACAATTGCTTAATGTAATCATGAATGGATAAATTTGGCCTTCTTAATTATTAATTAAAATTAAGTCTAATTAAAAAATTAAATAAAATTGCTTGGCGCACCCTCCACGGCTCCACTCCACGGCTCCCTTCTTCCTTGTCCATATCAATTTTGCATTAAATATACATCCAATCAATTGCTGTCATGTGACAAGTAATTCTTTTTTTACATAAAATGTCATAACTTTTTCATTTTTGCTCCAATTTTTATAAAAATTATACCAAATTAAATATCTTTTTATGATCTTTCATATGACACTAATATTATATATGTTATTTTTTTAAAAAAAATCTGGTCAATTTCCGTGAAAGGCCGATAAATGTATATTTACTACTACGTATTATTTAAATCTAGTGTAGTCAGATCTGATTCTATTTGTTTGAATCTATCTCGTTCAAAATCAGTTCAATTAAAAACATCTTAAATACCATTCACGCTACTAATCTAGTCATGTAACATATGTGACCGTAATGTGGAATCAGCATGATGATGATGGAGTTTTAAAAGGCGAGACCTCCACGTTTGAAATTAGTCAAGCAAATAAAAAATGAAGATAATTAGTTTACTAGAGTTAAAAATGTTACTTATTAAATTATATAATCTAATATAGAACTTCCAAAAAAAATATAATACGAAGTATATAATTGCGCAAAGTAAGAAACAAAACATTTGTGTTTTTATAATATATAAGGTTTATATCAATCATGCAATACAATTGGAACATGGTCTCTTATAACATTACGACATTATGTAAACTGTTTAATTCGGTGAAGAAGTGGAGTATCCCATCCTGCAACACTTGCGTCGTGATAGTAAGACCATGTCGTAATCACTGGTGGCAACGGAGCATTGTCGTCAAGCCAAGTCTGTGTATCAGCACAAGTTTTCATTTTATGCATATCATATGGTAATGTGAAAATAAACGATCTTTGTACGGGTCCAGCCAATTTTCAGTAAGATATCTCATAAGACCCCAATTGTTCTTCCATTTCGAGCTCATATATTTTAATTGCTTCTCATATTGATCGACAGTGGTTGAACTAAATAGCTTCATGCATCCTTTTGAAAAGGATACTTGGATCGTCTTCATGTTGCTCAAATTTAAAGCTTTATCTTCTATGTTACGCATAACATGTACCATGCACAATATATGCTTAGATTCTGGGAAAACGTCACCGAGCGCTTTTATCAAACCTAACTCTCGGTCAGGGAACAAGGACATATTAGTTTTAACTCATTTAAAACCCAAATGTAGTGATCTGCGCTTTCAGCTCTCATCCACGCAGATGCAACATAGAATGTGTTCAGCGTACTTGTGAATCCCACTATTTTCAGAAAAGGCATCTTGTACCTGTTATAATTAATCAAGTATATTACATGTATAATAGTTATAAGGGTTAATTACCTAAATAGGAGTAGAAGATAGTCGATAATCACAAATAGACTACATTTTTTTAACTCAATAGTAGGACTAATTAAGTGTTTTCGGACAAATATACCCTTGAAACTATTGGAATGTTTTAATTCATAATAAAACAAGTATGAGGATCTATTTAAAAGAAAATATTTTACCTGTTTGTCTTGTATGTTGTGTCCATGATGAGAACATAAGGAAAAAGTTGCAATAATTTTAGTGAATCTCGATGCGCGAATATCATGTCATGTATATAAATCTTCACTCCTTGGCACTAATCTATTGGCCTCAAAGTAATCATACTTTGAAATCAAATGAAGTAATTGTTGCATGACGGTGCGCCCATCCATCCATTCCTTCTTAAGCTTGCATCTTGCGTTGTACACCTGCTTCCTAGATGTAACATTTCCAGAGTTCGCTATTTTTAAACTTTGGAGAATGGGCTTTGGCTTGCAACCCGCCTCGGATAAGTCTCTCACCAAAGAAATCTCTTGCTTTGTCAATTTACCAGCAAATGCGTGACCCACTAAGCTCGTTGGAATAACATGATTATGAAATTCACAGTTAACCTGCAATCGCCATAAATTCCGCTCCACTTCACTCCCATATAATCCGAAAGGGCAATCATTTTTTTTGTTCTTGTAGCTTTCTTTCCTTTATCTTGTTGCACCCCGGGAGCATTAACTTTTTTTGCAGCTCGATACTTCCCGAATTTTTCATATGCGAGAAGGACATTACCAAGCTTCTTAGAATTACTTGGCCTCGATTTTGCAATAGTTAGCACCATGTTTCTCTTATAGGCCTCAACTCTAGCTCAATCAATCATAGACTCCCGATCCGCCCAAGTTTTATGAGTTTGGAAGTCTTCTGAAAAATCACGTGAAGTGAATGGTTGTGATTCTTCAACAATTGGAGGTTCATAATTTACTTCTTCTTCGACAAAAGTTGAGCTATCATAATGAAAAATAAGGCCGATGTACACCTCATAATCATCCTGCAAATATCATATTTTTATAAAAGAAAATAATATGAGATACATGTATTACAGGAAAAATGCATGTATATACCTATTAAAATTACTAGTATCGTACCCGTACGATGCACGGATTAAAAAATATTTTATTTTTTAAATAATTAAATATTAATGTAAGACATTTATTTTAAGAGCACTCGATATATTTTGAAGTGATCATACTAAATGCATGTACAAAACAAAAGAGTACATTACAGAATTAGAATACACAAAAATAACGTAGTAGTATGGCATTAAATATACACTTTGGATGAGTCATTCTCCTGTCCAGCAGGTTTTGGCTCGAACGCCGTCCAGAAACCGCCGTTCAGGGCAGTTCCCGGTGTAATTTTTCAATGAAATTTTTATGTTATGTTCTTCATCAAGTCTAATTTAACCACAAAAAATTTCAGCTCAAAATTCGATCGGTAAGGTCGTCAAATAATTTTTAGAAATTAACTGCGCAAAATTATACATAGAAAAACGCAGTCAACTTCCAAAAATTATTTGACGGTCTTCCCGATCGAAGTTTGAGCTGATTTTTTTTGGATAAACTAGACTTGATGAAGAACATATCATAAAAATTCATTGAAAACTTCCACCGGGAACCGTCCCGAACGGCGGTGTTCGGACGGCGCCTCAGGTCCGAACGTTCGGACCTGAGAATTTCCCACTTTGGATTACTAATTGGAGTATAAATTAGTAACGTAGTAGTATATTTTGCAACTATATTAATTAGTATTTTTTTAGTTTTTTACTGTATTTTAAATAAAAATAGGCCATAGCTTATTACACGTAACTAAATATTCGTGCATGTGTTTTTTGTATCTGTTTTATACAACTACCGAAATTTGATTTGGTTTGATCTGAGATCAAAATTTTATAATTGTTGTGTCAATTAGTTTTTCGTGCAATTCAGTGACCGCTAATATTTTTATGGTTTTTATTCCCTTAAAAAAGGGAATTATTAGGAAGATTGATGTGGTTGTCTATTACAACTACCGTTCGGATGTAATAGACAATCATTATTCCCTTAAAAAAGATGTTTCCTAATTATTAGGAAGATGTAGACAGGTTTCCTAGCAACTACACTATGAGTCCGTATGTGAGAAAAGAACACACATGTCCATTTTTGACAAAAAAAGAGGTGTGGCCAGCAGTTTTTGGGGTGCGTGAAGTCCGAGCGTTCATTTTATTATCTTATTTTGAGAAATTATTTATTGTCGTATTCAAATTTAGTTTTTATGATTCAATTTAATATTTGTCTAGTTTTTAGATAGATTAGATCGGACTTCGATAAAGCTTATTTTAATTCAATTGCAACGATACAGCTAATCAGGAGCGGACCGTAGTACAGACCCAGGGGGGCTACCGCCCCCTAATAAGAATTTTTTTAGTGTATATATATATGAAAAATAATTTTCTCCCTCCCAAAAAAAAATTTGAACCCCCCAAAAAAAAATTTCACCCCCTAAGATGACTTTCCTGAATCCGCCCCTGCAGCTAATTGAATCAGACTAATAACAAATATTCAAATAAAGTGTAAAATAAGACTTCAATGAAAGTGAATGCTTTAAGTTTATCTAGAAGTGTAAAATAATACATAGTACTTCAAAAAACATCCAAATCTAGTTTATATCACATTTTCATGAACTCAGATATCTAATGATTTCAAGAGAAATTTTCTTAAACATGAGCAAAATGTAGATAAAGTGTAAAATAAGATCATCATAATTTTCTTTTTAAAATAAGACTCATTCACTCTTAGTTGTGAAAATTTAATACTTTTATTAGAACCAAATATCTACAATATTGAGAATAAAACATATGAGTAGTTACTTCTATTTTTTGTAATTTCTATGTTATACTCTTATTTGGGATATTTTTTCCATTTGAAATGGTCTTAATTGGATCAATTCGCCCATGGGTATAAGTAGGGCAACCTAAGCTTGAACTTACCTAAAGTTTGTTAAAAACTTTAACCCGTGTGTTAAAATTTACACAAAAAATATATGAATAGTTTCCTCGAGTACCATTTTTGTGCATTAAATCTATCGAAAAAGCCACCACAATGATTTTTAGTTTTCTCAGCCTAATACTTTAAAAATAACATTTCTTCAATTTTGTTGTTAAAATCCTAAACTCGTCTTGTAATAATTAGGACAAGTCGATCAGGTAACAAAGGTTTCAGTCGGATAAAGGTTGAGTACCAACTTTAAAAAACAAATGGGACTGGGCCGGAGAGTGTTGGAAATTTTAAGAATAGAATGAGTCAATGAGTCTTAAATTTTGAAAAACACTTGTTATATTAAACAAGTCTTAAGAATGGAACGAGTCTTAATATATCATATTGCCTCAACTTAAATACTTCTTACTTTTTTTTTGAAAGATTAAACACTTGTTACTTAAACAAGGTCTTAACATACATTTGAACAAGTTAGGCAGTTAGCCCAGAACAGGTTTAAACAAAATCTTCACATAAGTTTATCAAATTAAACCAAATTCGAATTAAGCAGATTAAACTAGACCAAAAAATTACATTCTAATTAAAAACACAAAATATATTGATGTGGCTATGTTTTGTAATCATCTATCGTCTCTCGATTCTCAAGTAAGCTAAAGTTTGAATGTAAAATTGTAATTGCTAAATACTCCGTATAATAAGCCTAGCTAAATGAAGTATCCATTGAGGAAAAAGTTGTAGTGATTGCAAAATTTAAAATTATGATAAAGGAGTTTCAATGTAAATTACTGTGTATAAATCATTTAAAGGATAACTTTGGTAAAAAGAACTTTAAAATGAAGGGAAAGTTCCCGAAATATGACTAAAACAGTTTCTAAATTCCAAAATATGACTGTCATATTTTTTATTCCCAAAATAGGACTAATTACTGCCATGTTTAGAAAATACTGACATGTTTGAAGTCTGGTACTGCCAAAACATGGCAGTAATTAGTCCTATTTTGGGAATAAAAACATGATTGTCCTATTTTGGAATTTTCAAACTGTTTTAATCCTATTTCGGGTAATATCTCTAAAATGAATGAGCTGGAAAAGCTAAAAAAGCTCTACATCCATTTTCTTTTGCAAAAAAAAAATCATCTATTTTTTGCAAAAAAACATCTATTTTCTTTTGCATACAGTAGTTCTACATCCATGATCCATCCAGTCATCATCCAGACAAGGTTGGAATTGCATTAAGACATTGTTTATAAAGAAGACAATTCACTTTGTTTCACAAGGGAAAAGAAGTACGGAGTAAATCTTATTTCCCTTTTTCTCTGCAAAATGAAAGCAAAGCTCACTGTTCATTAGTGTATAATAGGGATGGATTCGGTTCGGGCCACCCGGCCCGTGACCCGGCCCGGCCCGGTACTGTGCGGGCCCGGGACCGGTCCGGTCGGGCGGTCCGGGACCGGGTCTGGGCCCGAACCGGGGGGAAGGGGTGGGGCGGGCTCGGTTCATCATTTTTGTGACCCGGCCCGGCCGGGTCGGGCCCGGGCCCGGGTCCGGGTCTATTTTTTTAAAAAAAAAACTTTTTTTTTTTATTTTTGGCTACTAGCCGTTGAGGCCTTGGGGGTGGGGCTGGGGACAACCCAAACGGCTATATAGCCGTTGGGTGGGGTAAAGGGGGGGTCCGGGGGGGGGGTTGGCTGGTAGGGGGTGGGGGTGGGGGGGGGGTGGGGGGTAAAAAAACCTATAAATTCTGCTACTCTTAAACATTTTTTCATATCTCTTCTCCAATTCTTCCTGAATCCTATTCTTAACTCTCTACTCTCTAATTCTCTTATTCTCCAATATATTATATATCTACTCTCTAATTCTCTTCTCCAAGAAGTTAAGATGGAAAATCAAAATGCCATTATACGGTATAATTTTGATAAGCAGAAGGACCCGAAGACCGGGATGTGGTACGCAATTTGTAAATGGTGCGAAAAAAAATGTATTATGGGGGCTTCAGGCGGATTCGGGATGACAATCAAGCATATGAAGTCATGTGACAGAGCCAAAGGATCGGGAGGTGCGGGAAGTTCCGATTGATTACAATTTTCAAAATGTTTCTCTTAAAGTTTGTTTTAATTTTCAAATGTAGTTCCTATTTCATTTCAAATAAATGCAATTGAAGTTTGTTTTTAATACTCGTATCAAACTATAAACTATAAAATATAAAATATAAATTATATATAAAAAAAATTAACCGGCCCGGCCCGAACCGGACCCGACCCGTGACCCGGGCGGGTGGCCCGGCCCGAACCGGACCCGTCCAACCCTCGGGCCGGTCCCGGGCCCACTGTTCTTGAACCGGCGGCCCGACCGGGCCTAGGCCCGGCCCGGGCCCGACCCGGCCCGAATCCATCACTAGTGTATAAGTTTACGGTTACTATTTGCTTTTAAATTTTTTAGGTTGAAGTAGTTCCGTCCAAAATCAATAATTGAAAAAAAAAAACAGAAATTCATTTTCGCTTCTTTTGTTATTTTTGTTCAATCCAAAACAAGAAAGTATTTTCTTTTTCATTTCTTCTTCTATGAAAAAAAAATCATAATGCCAAAAAACTGAATTGCAGGAATTTCACACACTTGGGATTCACAACTCCTCATCTGCCAGCTCCTTAAACTTAGCTTTGTTGCTTAAAACCTCAAAAGCATTCACGAGATTATGAAGCCGTGCAACAAACTCAACCAACAAGGAAGTAAATGTTGCTAATGACAATGGACTTGCACTTTCATATGTCCGGACTTCACGCTCATTTAGGATCGTATCTCCTAGAACCGAAAGGCGTGAGGGCCAATTCACCTGTTGCTTAAACACATCGTTAGATGATTCCAATTGAGTGTCCATGTGCTTCAAGGTCTGCATGGATCTCATATTGAGAGTTGCTTCACTAAGGGAATTTATCAGCATTGGTCTATGCTGTTGGCTGTCCTTGAGGTCTTGAAGGTCTTCGGGGTCTTCTAAGTTCTTTGGGCGTTTCCCACTCTCCCAGTTCTCGGCATTGACCAATAAGTATGACTTTTGATCAATCAATATCTGCAACTCCTCTGCCGCTTCATGGACTTCTTCAAGAACATCTTCCGCATGACGGCTTAGTTTCTCCATTTGCTTGACCTTTTCTCCAAGGTGCCTTATCAACTTAGCTCCCGCTATCCCAACTCTTTTTATCTCCTTCCCGAAGACATGCCTTAAATCGGGTGCTGCCTACAATGTATGTTTAGTAGGCAATTCTTTAAAAGTATTAATTCATGTGTAAACCAACACCATATCGGCCCATTTGGCATGTGGCAAATACAAGTGAAAAAAACATGGAGGAACATAGAGAGTAAAATTACTACTACGTAATATTTTAGATATTTCTTGTTTTTTTTTATTCCATAATATAAATATATGAAAACAAATTAAAAAAGTTAGTAGTATTTCCTTTTCTTTTTCCAAAGTAAACAAAAAACATAAGAAAATAACCTCAGTTAGCATTTGTTTTCTTTTCACAATTAATTAATTTCTGGGATCCTAACATACCCTAAAGTGCCAACAACAAAAAGACTGAAATCAAGATCTTTAGAACATGGAAAGGATAACATAACATATTTTAGGGAGTTTTGCTTTTATCTAAGGGGTCAGGGGTCCAATGTGCACCAAGTCACCAACTATTTTATATTCACACAAACTTGTGTTAGACGACCCAACTATCCTTTATCAGTTAAATATATGAAGCATTGCTTTTTAGCTAAAAAAGTACCTTCTGGCTAAAAACCAACACTTGTGAAATAACATTTTGGAAAGTGACAGCGTTTCCCAACAAATATCAGCTTTAAGCTCAAACAAGCTCAAACGGGAGTAAGTTTTGGAGACTGTTTCATGCAAGCGATACTATCTTGTATTTTATATATATTTAAACACACATACATACATAGCTATACATGTGTATATGTGCGCGCACGTATATAATGTTTGGTCCAACGAGAACTTTTACTGAAAAAGATGTTGAAACTGTGGAGCTTCTTGAAAAATAGGCCTTTTGCTTCTTTGGCCTTATTTGAGACTGCATTGCAGTAAGCATAGCTCCTTTTAAAGTACAAAGTTTCAACCAAAAACTGATTTAAAATGCTAACGAGTGACATTTGCGTTTGGAGAATTGTGTTTGAGATGAATATTTCCTCTTTAAATATTCTGAATTTTACAATGCACTTCTCAACCTCAACGCCAAAACCGGCCCAGAGTGACTTTGCATTAAGAGAATTGTATAATTTGCATTTGAGGTTAGAAATCAGAGTAATTCTCAGAAGTACTTTTCAAATTTGCTTTTTAAGTATGATAGAGACCTAGACAGTACTAGTAACAAGAATAATATTAGTCTTTTTATATTGTAGAACAAAAGGGGTTTAGGCCCTGAATTTAATAGTTTTGGGCTAGCCCAAATGGAAAAGAATAAATAGGTGTTGGGGGAGTAGAATAGGGGCAGGCAGAACTTGGATCTGAACTGGGACCTGGGAGAGACCGAGGGCACTCTCGAATTTGCCTTCAACTGTATCGTTTCTTTTCACTTCTTCAATTTCAGTGTTCAATTTCAACAATTCATCGCCATATTTGCCTGTACTTAACATTGGTATCAGAGCCTCCTTCCTGGAGCCTGAATCGATCGTCAGTTTCAACGACAGTTGAAGAAGAAGATGGACAATAGCGACAGTCAGTGGAAGGAGTTGCGCTATATGCTGCGCAAACTTCGTCACCGTCAGAGGCGACATAGAGACAGAGCTAGGAGCCCTCCTAGACATCGGCGATCAATTGAAAGCCAGTCGTCATCCTCGCAAGCCAAGTCTCCCAGTGCATCGCAATCGCGAACTCCAGCTGCTAGCGAGAAGTCTTCGCACTACCGAGGTAATCCACATAGTCCGCCGGTCTCTTCGCAGTCGCCAGCATCTTCTTCCTGTTCGCCAGACTCTTCGCCGTCAGTAGACGCTCCTCACCTATCATCAATGACCAGTTTGAAATTGTCGTCTCTGGCCGCATGTCACAGTTCGTCGACGCTAGCCGCACCTCACCATGTGCAAGCTTCATCAGTTTTCAGAACCCTAGACCAAGCTGAATCCGAAAATGGATCACCAGGATCTTCATCGCCGACAATGAACATTAAGTTGAGATTGTCAGAACCGAAAGAGCAGGAGGTCACAAGCGCAGATAAGTCAAAAAGGACAGGTGATAAGATTTATTATTCGACTCTAGTGAAAGCCGTGCCAAAATCTGTTGATTCATCTGAACCAGATCAAAAACTAGATCAGATCATCTACAGTATCAAACTTCCTGGACTTGCTTTATTGGGTGAAGGCATGACACATACACTTTATTTTTGTAGGGGAGAGCATGAAACAATTGGAAGGTTATTTGTAGGAGTGCTTGTGTGTGCTGAAACAGACTACTTATCTTTTCCTTGGAGGGAGAAGTGTGTTGCTTATGCTGAAAGTCAGGACCAAGCTCAGGTGGGTGACTGTGTTATTATACTCCCGGATCATTTCATTTCATTTTCATTTACCCCAGTGCCGCAAAGGCTCCCACCTACGGTGGGGTAAGGGGGGGTCGGATGTACGCAGTCTTACCCCTGTACTAAAGCACAGAGAGACTGTTTCCGGATGACTCATAGTGAAAATCGCGTCCAAAATTGCATGGACTGACTGCTGCTTCATAACAAAGAAGCGCAGACAGTTTAGTGAGCCATTTTGCTTTATTCCATCATAATCTCAAGCCAAAAAATAATGAATCTTTGGCTCCATTGCAAATGATGGAAAATCATTTGCGGCACAGATAATTTCATTTGAAGAATCAGTTTTCAATCGGGATGATGAATTCCTTCTTAATAGCAGTCATGAAAGAAAAATTCATGCAATAAAGAAGTTCAGTGTTGTTACCAAATTTAAGAATCTTGACAATGTTTTTGGCCCTATTTCAGATTACCGGTTGAGTAGAATCAGTGTGGATCTGGACCCTACTATTCAGATTGCTGGAATTGATATCTCCAAGAGGGAACAACTCATGAATTTATCTTTAAAGCCCAAAAGGGTTAAAGGAAGGGAAGCTAAAGTAAATGTTCAACCTTGTACAGTTAAAGAGAAAGGTGAAGCTAACTGTGAAAGACATTATAGAATATTCTTTAGAATATGTTTTAGAATATTCTTCTATCTTTAGAATATGCTTTAGAATATTTTAGGAATATACTCTAGGATATTATTATTGTATAGAATCTTAAAGGAATATTCTATCTTTGTAATGTATATATATATGGGCTTGACCCTCCAATGAAAAATACACAAAAATCATTCTTCTCATTACTATTCTATCTTTAATTCTTACAACATGGTATCAGAGCAATCTGTTCCAGTTTAGCTTAGCAGTATTTTTCAGAATTTCAGTTCATGCCTCAGCCAGAACCTTAGCCCAAAATTCAGAACCTCAGTCCAAAATCCACAGTTTCACAGAGCATCACCTCCACCCTAAGCAGTCACGCCTTCCGCCGCCGACCTTACACTCGAAATCCGCAGGCCACACGCGCCGTCAGAGGACCTCGCGGACCTAATCGCAGACCCAATCGCCGGAGAATCCATCGGAACTATTTTCCGGTGTCTTGAACGGTATTATCTTTCTGTGACTTTGCCTATTAAGTAACAACGACATTCAAGGATAGTATTTTGGTCGCTGTAAGTTTACTTAATACATAGCATCTTATTTCGGTAATTAAAAAAAAAATCAAAAAAAAAACAAAAAAAAGTCAAAAAAAAAAGTCAAAAAAAATCAAAAAAAAATGCCTGGTTCTGATACAGACACTTCCACCGTACAACATGCTCAGCCTTTGGTAGTTTCCGAAGTTATTCCCATTAATTTTAAAATTACTGAGAATAAACTTTGTGGCTCTAACTATCTTGAATGGAGTAAAACTATCAAACGTTATTTACGAAGCATTGATAAATACACCCACTTAGTTGATGACCCGCCAAAGGAGGAGATTGATAGAGCTGATAATGCTGTCTGGCTTCGTGATGATTCTAGATTATTTATACAGATTCAGAACTCCATGGAGAATGACGTCATGGGGTATGTTAGTCATTGTGATACTGTGAAAGAACTCTTTGATTATTTGGAATTTATGTATTCTGGCAAAGGTAATCTTAACCACATCTATGAGGTGTGCAAAGCCTTTTACAGGGCAGAAATGAAAGATAAGCCTCTCACAGCTTATTTTATGGATTTCAAGAAAACGTATGAAGAACTTAATACCTTAATGCCATTTAGTCCTGATATCAAAGTGCAGCAGAAACAACGCGAACAAATGGCAGTCATGAGCTTTTTGGCCGGTCTTACGTCTGATTTTGAAACAGCCAAATCACATATCCTATCTAGTGATGTGGTCTGTTCTCTTCAAGATGCTTTCAGTAGAGTGCTTTGCACTGACACTTCATCCACATCATCGGCACCTCAGCCAAGCAATGCTTTTGTAGGGCAAGTCCCAACATTCCCCAATGGAGGTGAGAAGTGGCCACGCACAGGACCGATTGGCAAAGGAGTAGTATGCAACTACTGTAAGAAACCCGGACACTTGATCAAAGATTGTCGAAAGCTAAAGTTCAAAAATCAAGGAAATCAAGTCGCTCACATTGCTTCCGCTACACAGCCATCTAATGGATCCATCATTATGTCTTCGGAGGAATATGCCAAATTCCTAGGTTACCAGGAGGCTCTAAAGCATTCATCTACTCCTATCTCAGCTGTAGCTAATTCAGGTAATCCAAACACATGTCTTGTATCTTCATCCTCAAAATGGGTTATCGATTCAGGAGCAACAGATCATATGACAGGTAATCCTAGTCTTTTTTCCTCATTCCACACACCTCTTCATACTTCTAGTGTGACTTTGGCTGACGGATCTACGTCACCCGTTCTTGGTACGGGTACAATTGTACCAACATCTACCTTACCTTTGTCACCCGTCCTAAGTCTTCCAAATTTTGCTTTCAATTTGATTTCGATCAGCAAAATCACACGTAAACTTAATTGTTCCGTAACCTTTTTTCCTTCAGGATCTGTTGACGAATCAGGTTATTGGTAAAGGATATGAGTCGGCCGGTCTCTATCTCTTGGATACATCCTTACCCAAATCAATCTCTTGTCTTGGCATTGGAACTGTGTTAGAGGCTCACTATCGACTAGGTCACCCTTCTCTTCCGTTGTTAAAGAAGCTTTATCCTCAATTCAATAAGGTGTCATCTTTACAGTGTGATTCGTGTCAATTTGCAAAACATCATCGAAGTAGTCTAAGTCCTCGAGTCAATAAACGAGCACATGCTCCTTTTGAACTGGTTCATTCTGATGTTTGGGGTGCTTGCCCTGTTGTGTCCGAATCTGGTTTTAAATATTTTGTTACCTTTGTTGATGATTATTCTCGTATGACTTGGATTTATTTCATGAAACGTCGTTCCGAGTTATTTTCTCATTTTTGTGCCTTTTGTGCTGAAATCAAAACTCAATTTAATGTACATGTTCGTATTTTAAGGGGAGACAATGCTCAAGAGTATTTGTCTGCCTCATTTAAGTTGTATATGGCTCAACATGGCATAATTCATCAAACTTCATGTGTAGACACACCTCCCCAAAATGGAGTTGCTGAACGAAAGAACATACATCTATTAGAAACTGCGCGGGCTCTTCTATTCCAAATGAATGTGCCAAAACATTTTTGGGCAGATGCTGTGTCTACCGCATGTTTTTTGATCAATCGAATGCCATCTACTGTTTTAGATGGTAAAACTCCATATCAGTGCCTATTTCCAAATAATGAAAATTTTCCTATTCCTCCTAAAGTTTTTGGTTGCACTTGTTTTGTACGAGATGTTAATCCCCATTTAACAAAGTTAGATCCCAAGTCATTAAAGTGCATTTTCTTAGGCTACTCTCGAGTTCAAAAGGGGTACAGATGTTTTTCTCCAAGTACAGGTCGGTATATTGTTTCAATTGATGTCTCCTTTTATGAAAATACACCATTTTCATCAACAGACACAAAAATCTGTAGGGAGAATGATGATATACTCATTTACACAATCACTATACCCGAGTCCAATACTTCAGCAGTTCTTCCCCATGTTACTTTTCCTGAGCCTAGTCCTTCGATACACTTGGTATACACCCGTCGACACAAAGTGCAAGATCACCCTCCACCTGTGGTTACTTCTTCTGATACTGATCCGGTCTCATATCCTGAACCGACACCTGCATCTTCAGATCCTGTCTCTACATCAGATCTTGATCTCCCCATCGCACTACGTAAAGGTACACGGTCTTGTACTCATCCTATTTCTTCATGTGTGTCGTATAATCAGTTATCATCTGCCTCATGTTCTTTTATTGCTTCCATTGATTCTATTTCTGTTCCCAAATCTGTTAAAGATGCTTTGTCTCATCCTGATTGGCGTCATGCCATGGTAGAGGAAATGAATGCTTTGGATCTTAATGGTACCTGGGATTTGGTAGACTTGCCTACAGGGAAGAAGTTTATAGGATGTAAGTGGGTCTTTGCTGTAAAGGTTAACCCTGACGGATCCGTTGCTCGGTTGAAAGCCCGATTAGTTGTGAAGGGTTATGCTCAAACCTATGGCGTTGATTATTCTGACACATTTTCTCCTGTTGCTAAATTAACATCTGTCAGATTACTTATTTCTCTCGCAGCAACTCATGGTTGGCACTTACATCAATTGGACATTAAGAATGCATTCTTGCATGGTGATCTTCAGGAGGAAGTTTATATTGAGCAACCTCCGGGGTTTGTTGCTTAGGGGGAGTATGGGAAAGTTTGTCGACTTCGCAAGTCTCTTTATGGTTTGAAACAGAGTCCCCGTGCATGGTTCGGGAAATTCAGCCAATCAATTGAACGATTTGGGATGATAAAAGGCAAATCAGATCACTCTGTATTTTACAGACAAACGAAAACAGGTATTATATTGCTTGTGGTGTATGTCGATGACATTGTGATTACAGGGAGTGATAATACAGGTATTTTGGGCCTAAAGAATTTTCTTCATAGTCAATTCCAGACGAAAGATTTGGGCTCATTGAAATACTTCTTGGGAATTGAGGTTACACGGAGTAAGAAAGGCATATTTCTATCTCAACGTAAATATGTGCTTGACTTACTAACTGAAACAGGGAAATTGGGGGCAAAACCAAGCAGTACTCCCATGATTCCCAATGTACAACTCACTCATGAAGGTATGCCATTCGAAGATCCGGAAAGATATAGACGGTTGGTTGGAAAACTTAATTATCTCGCAGTTACCCGTCCAGATATTGCATACTCAGTGAGTGTAGTAAGTCAATACATGTCATCTCCGACAGTGGATCATTGGAATGTTGTAGAGCATATATTATGTTACTTGAAGGGGACACCGGGACGAGGTATTGTTTATCAGAATCATAATCACATGAGAATAGAATGCTTTGCAGATGCTAATTGGGCTAGATCTAAAGATGATAGAAGATCGACATCTGGCTATTGCGTCTTTGTTGGTGGTAATCTCGTCTCTTGGAAAAGTAAGAAGCAGAATGTGGTTTCTCGTTCGAGTGCTGAATCAGAATATCGGGCTATGGCACAATCGGCATGTGAGATAATCTGGATAAACCATTTATTGAGTGAAATGGGATTGAAGACACCAATGCCTGCTAAACTCTGGTGCGATAACCAAGCTGCTATACACATTGCCAACAATCCAGTGTTTCATGAGAGAACAAAACATATTGAGATCGATTGTCACTTTGTTCGAGAAAAGATACAACAAGGATTGATCTCTACAGGACATGTGAAGACTGGAGAGCAACTTGGAGATTTGTTCACTAAAGCACTAAATAAAATTCGTGTTGGTTACTTATGTAACAAGTTGGGCATGATAAATATTTATGCTCCAACTTGAGGAGTGTGAAAGACATTATAGAATATTCTTTAGAATATGTTTTAGAATATTCTTCTATCTTTAGAATATGCTTTAGAATATTTTAGGAATATACTCTAGGATATTATTATTGTATAGAATCTTAAAGGAATATTCTATCTTTGTAATGTATATATATATGGGCTTGACCCTCCAATGAAAAATACACAAAAATCATTCTTCTCATTACTATTCTATCTTTAATTCTTACAACACTAACAAAAAGAAGGAAGGGAAATCTAGCATACTTGATGCTTTTTTCAGGCTTGTGGAACTGGAAAGAGGGAGGATCAGTATTGATGATGGTGATGTTTCAAGGTTAGGATTGAGGGACTTCCATAAGGTTGTTGGTATTATACCACAGTTGCTTATTCTGTTCTCAAGCAGTGTTGGATTCATCCTTGATCCTTTCAATGAACACAAGGGTGATGATCTGTGGGTGGTTTTAGAGAGGGCACATATCAAAGAAATGATCAGGATGAGCTCTTTGGGTCTGGATACTGAGGATTTTCTTCAAGATAAAGTTTTGTATGATCTTTTAAGTGAGAAGCCTAATTTAAGGGAGGGGTTGAAGGCGGAAGGACATGCAACACTAAGGGCGGCCAAGGGCCTTCAACCTATGGGACTGACAGTGAAACTGGCTCCAGGAGTTTGGATTGTCATGCTCAACTGTTTGGATGGACAGTCAGATTTTTAAATCTTTGGGATGGATATCGTTTCAGCATTGGTTGATCATTCCAACAATAAACAGTACTTTGAGACCATAATTCAGGATTTCATACAAAACTGTTATCATCAAGGTGTTCTATTCATTGGAGATGCAGATTGTTATGGTCGGAGTACTAACCGAGATTCTGTGCATGCAGCAGCTATTGGTCAGATGGTGGGTGATGGTGGTTTGTTATTACTAAAGATTCTTACTGATGAGGTTGGTGAAGAAGGATTATGCATATGGAGTTGGCCTGGTGGCAATGTGCCAAGTTCTTTGTTACCTTCCTTGGTTGGTGCTGTGAAGACTGAGACTTACAGTCCCGAAGCTGACTTTGTATTCTCAATTGGAGATTCTGTAAGAGATCAGATATGGGGCAGTGAAGGAGATAACGAAATTGGCCAAAAGGATCACTATGTTGACAAAGAGATTGAGTGGATACCAAAACGAAGAAAACTATCCGAGCTGAAGTACTGGGAAGGCAGAGGAGCAAGGATAAAACGTACTGGCATGGCTGTTTCTTACTCAGATACTTCCCACCTTGAGGACAAGGTGGTTGTCAAAGGGGGGAGTAATGATAGAGACCTAGACAGTACTAGTAACAAGAATAATATTAGTCTTTTTATATTGTAGAACAAAAGGGGTTTAGGCCCTGAATTTAATAGTTTTGGGCTAGCCCAAATGGAAAAGAATAAATAGGTGTTGGGGGAGTAGAATAGGGGCAGGCAGAACTTGGATCTGAACTGGGACCTGGGAGAGACCGAGGGCACTCTCGAATTTGCCTTCAACTGTATCGTTTCTTTTCACTTCTTCAATTTCAGTGTTCAATTTCAACAATTCATCGCCATATTTGCCTGTACTTAACAAAGTACAGTTTTTTGCAGCCAAAATCTCAACCCAGACTAGCATTTGTCTGTGGGAAGTCTAGTAGCAAAAAGAATAAGAATAAGCTAACCTGTATCTCGGAAAGAATACAACTGTGCATAGCCATGACCATGAAGGCACAATGCCTCAATGCACCACTAAGTTTGACATACTCATTCCATGGATACTTTAGCATTTTGTAACGACCATGGGGTGGTTCCCATACGGCAAAACTCAACTGCAAAGCAACCTATACTTGTAAGTATCAAGAAATTCATAATAAATATAAAAATAGATATGCAAATCAGATAAATTACATTGGGTATACCAGAGAATCCTCTTGGCTTGTGGACTCTAAGGCACATCTATACCCACTGTACACAGGGTCATCCCATGCCTGATAAAGTAGAATTTTTGAAGGTACCCTCTCATATTCAACAGATTGCAGATAACCATTCACGCAACCTAATATAGCATTGCACAGTGGATAAGTCAAGTATCATTCTCTTATTATTTAAGGGTCAGTTTCAAAGGTTTTGTTTATTTTTTGCAGAAATATGTCTATATCTCAATGTATAGTATATACATGAGGTTCTATGAAAGTTGAAAATATAACACAATAGCTGAGCGTATAGCACATCAAACACCTTTTACTTGTTGTTAGAAATGTTTATTTATCAAAAAATCAAAATATAGACTACAACAACAACAACATCCAAGCCTTAGTCCCAAAAGATATTGGAGAAAAATTCAAAATATAGACTAAACCCTCAAAAACCATTCACCCAAACTGACCCTAACTAATTGAAAGACGGTCTCTTGGACCCAGCACATGGAGCAATGATGCATGCTGGTAATGAATGCCACATGTACTGCAAGGAAATCATTTCAGATATTTTAATCTTCTTTATCGGTCTTATCAATTCTCTACTAAGCACTAATTTTTTATTGTAGTGGCTAAATCTGCTGTTTATAATAAGATTAGCTGATATGACAAGACTGATAAAATTTGACTAAACTAACTCAAATGGTTCATTTGGAGGACACTTTGCATCCTTATTAGCCTCTGGGTGCAGGGTGGAACAGACATTGAAAGACTTGGAGTGTGTTTCGGAGTTCTTATTTTGAAGTAATGAGTGCTTTTTAGTTTTTGGAGGACCAAGCACTTTTACTTTAAAAAAGATTTGTTTGAGAGGAAAATGGAAACCATGCTTTCAAAAGTAAAAAACTACTGTTAATGCTCAATAAGAAAACGAAAAATTGGTGCTTTAGGTAAGAACTTTAAGGATGTTTTTAATTGGATTGACATTTTCTAGTCTGATCGGTTTAAGTCTGGTCTGAACTAGTCTGATAGATGTATGTTTTATGTGTATTTTACTATTGTCAAAGGTTGGTGTTCTGGTCTACTGAGATCTAGTATGGTCTGGTTGTTTAATTCATGTTTGGTCTGGTCTGGGGCTGAAATCAACCCAATTAAAAGCATCCTAAGCAATTAATTAAATATAAAATCCCTTATGATCAAAGCACGTGTACCATAAGTTATCCAAAACAGCACATACTGTAGAAGCCAAACAAGCAAAAAGACTAAAGATACAGGAAAAAAGAAGTCCCATCACCTTCAAAAGAATCTGCAACACCATTAAAATTCTTTACCACCAGTTTGTGCAAATCTTCACCAGCCCAAATGGGGTAGACACATATATTTACAAGCAAGCATACAACCGCGCCAACCCCAATCAGCAATAGCCGGGAGAAAGCAGTTTCTATCAATTTTGAAGATTCAGATAATAAGACTATACAGTATGTCAACAAGAACACCCGGAATCCATATTCATATTGCTTCATACTAGGATGCAGTTTCAAGTAACTTGCTACAAAACCTGAAAATACAATGGGTATAATGCAGTAAGTTAGAGTTGTAGACTCAAAGCATACTAATCCAATATTTTTAAGGGAATATTCCACATATGACACTAAGACATTACACATTTCTTTATTTAGGATTATCATTGCTTTTCCCTGAAGGGAAAAGTACCTACTAAAACAATAAGAAGTTCCTAATACGTAGTATATAAGTAAGAATCTAAATATCATTTGGCATATGACTAATTAAGGCATTCAGTAGTAGGATACTGGGAAAGTGGGAAACACATCACATTAGGAAAAACATCACACTAGAAAAAAACATCAGAGTCATATACTGGGAAACATGACTTGTTCTTGCCATATCCTCATAATTTTCTCTTTTTCTGAAAGTATGATAAGTAACGGAAGAATCCAAGAAGAAAGTAGTAGTTTATTAATGAAAATTTAGTGAAGGAATACAGAAAGTCACGAAAGGAAAGGTTTGAGACTCTTCGAGTGGTCTCTCACTCCCAATATCCCAGTCCTGATCCCAAGTTCTGCCCCCCATCTTGTAAACTGAGTAATAAGAATTAAAGATGCAATGAAATCACACTTCATTATCATTAGGTATGGCCAGTATAAATACATACAAGTTAGGGAATACAAAAAGGAAACTAAATCTGTCAGATTTACCTAGAATATTTAGTCTATCGCAGAGAATATATTAGCTACCATATATATACATAGAATATATTGACTATTAAATATGTATATTCTAACACTCCCCCTCAAGCTGGAGCATAGATATTAATCATGCCCAGCTTGGTACAGATGAAATTGATACGTGTCCCCGGTAGAGCCTTGGTGAACACATCTGCCAGTTGGTTTCCTGTTTTGATGTGTGAAGTGCAAATTGTACCATCTTATACCTTTTCTCGAGTAAAGTGACAATCAACTTCGATGTGTTTTGTTCTTTCATGAAAAACAGGATTATTTGCTATATGGATAGCCGTTTGATTATCACACCATAATCTCATGGGTTCTGTTTGAGTAAATCCAAGTTCACCAAGCAAATGCTGAAGCCAAACCAGCTCACATGTAGTCCGTGCCATGGCTCGATATTCAGATTCTGCACTTGATCTAGAAACAACATTTTGCTTCTTACTTTTCCAAGATACAAGGTTTCCTCCAACAAAGACACAATAACCAGTGGTGGAATGTCGGTCATTAGGGTTTCCAGCATAATCCGCATCAGTAAACCTCTCAATAACATGATGTCCGTGGTTTTGATATAGTATCCCACGCCCTGGAGCCCCCTTCAAGTATCTTAGGATATGAGTAACTGCATCCCAGTGTGATGTTCGTGGAGTGGATAGAAACTGATTGACCACACTAACCGGGAAAACAATATCAGGCCGGGTGATAGTCAAATAATTCAGTTTCCTAACAATCCTTCGGTATACCTCAGGATTTTCCAGCAAGTCGCCTTCATCAGCTGTTAACTTTACATTTGGGATCATCGGAGCATCACACGGTTTTGCCTCAACCAAACCTGCATCATTTAGCACATCTAGGCAGTATTTTCTTTGAGACAAGTAAATTCCCTTGTTACTACGTGAGACTTCTATCCCTAAGAAGTACTTTAAGGGCCCAAGATCTTTGGTCTGAAAGCAAGTAGAAAGGAAAGCTTTCAGTTTCAAAATACGACTCGCATCACTGCCAGTGATCACGATGTCATCAACATACACAACTAATAGAATGCATCCAGAATTTGAGGTAGAGAAGAAAACTGAGTGATCATAGGCACTCCTGCGTAGGCCAAATTTAAATATTGCAGCACTGAAACGGCCAAACCAAGCTCGTGGGGATTGTTTCAGACCATACAACGATTTCCTTAATTTACATACCTTTCCAGACTCCCCCTGAGCAAGAAACCCTGGTGGTTGCTCCATGTACACTTCCTCGCTAAGGTCACCATTCAAAAAGGCATTTTTAATATCAAGTTGATGGAGTGTCCAATTGTAAGTAGCAGCCAAAGAGATAAACAATCGAATGGATGTAAGTTTGGCAACAGGAGAGAAGGTGTCAAAGTAATCTATACCATATGCTTGAGCATAACCCTTAGCTACTAACCGTGCCTTTAAACGAGCAACCGAACCATCAGGATTCATTTTGACAGTGAACACCCATTTACACCCAATAGCTTTCTTATCGGGTGGAAGATATACAAGGTCCCATGTGTGGTTCTGGTCGAGAGCCATTATCTCCTCTCGCATTGCCTCTTGCCAACCAGGATGAGTCAAGGCCTCAGAAACCGTTGAAGGAACAACAATAGAATCTAAAGAAGCAATAAAGCTCTTGGAAGAAGATGACAATGTATTATAAGTAACAAAGGAAGAAACAGGATAAGTACAAGTACGAGTACCTTTTCGGAGGGCGATTGGGAGATCAAGGTCGGAGGGAGCAGAATCTGGAGGCGAAGCAGAAGATGGCAGCGGTACACTGGTAGCCATAGTAGGTGCCGTAGTCACATGGCGCACACGACGAGAGTAAACTTTAAGGGGAGGAGGTGGAGGAGGTGGAGGAGGAAGGAAAGTTGATGGAGAAGTCTGATTGGGGGGGACAGATTCTAGCTGGCTGGTGGTATAGACTAGAAACTCATCATTAGAGAGTTCCAAAGAAGATGATGAAGATGAACTATGCTGAAAGAAGAATGTTTCTTCAAAAAATGTGACATCTGAAGAGATAATATACCGTCCCAATGAAGGAGAATAACATCGATATCCTTTTTGTAACCGGGAATAACCCAGAAAAACACACTTGATTGATTTAGGATCAAGTTTTGAGACCTGGGAACGCATATCCTGGACAAAGCATGTGCAACCAAACACACGAGGCACAAGAGAGAACAAGGACTGAGAGGGGAATAAAATGGAGTACGAAATCTGACCATTAAGAACAGAGGAAGGCATACGATTGATAAGGTAACACGCAGTGGAAACAGCGTCTACCCAAAATGGTTTAGGAACCCCCATGTGAAATATTAAGGCTCGAGCTACTTCTAGTAGGTGACGATTCTTTCGTTCAGCTAACCATTTTGTTGAGGTGTATAGGGACAAGAAGTGTGGTGTAAAATCCCATGGCGAGATAAGTAAGTCTGAAAAGTGCTAGATAGATAGTCTTTAGCATTATCACTTCTCAGAATGCGTATATTCTTATTAAATTGAGTTTGAATTTCAGCATGAAAGGTACAATCCTGGGAGGAGTTGGTAGGATACCATCCTGGATAACCGTATTAGCAACACGCCTGGGAGGAAACTGTCCAGAAGTCTGTAGTGGACGACCATGTAATTTCCAGCAATTCTTCTTCACATGACCCTCAGCTCCACAGTGATAACATGTGCGAGAAGAATTACGAGTCCCTTCAGTAGTGACTGAATTGGTCCTTTTACCATGGCTCACATCACTGACTAAGGCAGCAGTATCAATTGAGTTCATCATTCTGGATTCTCCATCTTTGCACACTGGAAGGAGACGTCCATAGAGGTCAGAAAAACTAGGAAGGGTCCCACCAGACAGTATTTGACTCCTTGATACCTCATATTGTGGACCAAGCCCAGCCAAAACACCATGAACAAATGTTCGCTCCTCTTGTTCTTGCATACTCTTAACATCAGCAGTAATAGGGAATCGGGACCGCTTTTCCTCAAAAATCTGTTTACATTCATTATAGTATTGAAACAGCGTCTGATCCCTCATCTCCGGTCTATAGTAGTGCACCAGTAATTGATGAACATAAGAGAGATCTTGTTTACTGGCATACATAGACTCCAAGTATTCCCACATTTCTTTGACAGTATCACAATGAGTAATGATACTATCAATAGAAGGGTCCAGGGTATTCTGAATTTGATTGAACAACCTATCATCCGCCATCATCCATTTTTTTCTTTCATCAGGATTACTTCTTGGAAGAGCCATTTCAGTTAGATGATCTCCCAGATCAAGACTATTAACGTATCTAGTAATAGTCCGTTTCCACTGCCCGTAATCTTTACTACCAGTCAGTTTTCTCTCGGTAATTCTAGCATTACCGACAGTAATCTCAGTCACACTCTTCTTATCATCACCCATGCTTGCAAACAACTAGGGCAAGAGTGATAACAAGAACAGGGTAAGAGAACTGGTGCAAATAGTAAAGATAGTGTCCAGAAAATCAGACCTGCGACAATTGTTCTGCACTATCCGGATTACCACGCCTGCGCCTGCGAACAACGTCCTGTGCCGCACAAAAGAGAGCTGAATCGAACCAGAGTGAGGGAGCAGAGTTGAACTTCGGGAAGTACTACCCGAAGAACCTGTGTGGCTCTGATACCATGTAAACTGAGTAATAAGAATTAAAGATGCAATGAAATCACACTTCATTATCATTAGGTATGGTCAGTATAAATACATACAAGCTAGGGAATACAAAAAGGAAACTAAATCTGTCAGATTTACCTAGAATATTTAGTCTATCGCAGAGAATATATTAGCTACCATATATATACATAGAATATATTGACTATTAAATATGTATATTCTAACACATCTAATCCCCACTCACCCTTATTTATTCTATTTCTAATGGGCCAGCCCACTTCTAATAAGTTGTAGGGCCTAAACCCTATTATTGAACAAAACTAAAATGACTTAATAAGGCTCTAATTCTTGGTAGTGTTCAGGTCCCTAACATCACTCCCCCCTTTAACTTCCACCTTGTACTCAAGGTGGATGATAAGAGATTGATTTTGCATTAGGTTCCAGCAAGTTTTCAGCTCCATCCCGCTCATAAAATTGATCTACTGTGCCCTCCTCTTCTTCTGGCTCTTCCCTCAAGATCAATTGATAATGTTTCATTCCACAAACATGCTCTTTGCCCCATTTGTTTCCACATTTGAAGCATAAGCCCTTCTTGCTTCTTTCTTCTAAGTCTGCTTGTGTCAACCTTTGGCCACCTTCCCATGTCTTACTCGGTTTTGGCGATTCCTCCAGTTTGTTCTCTGAAAGTGTTCTCTCCGGATTTAACGCAGGTGTTCTTCCCTTTGTTGCGTCTACCCAGTTCCAGGGTCTAACCATTTTTCCTCCCTGTTCCTTCCAACCTATGTTGTCTTCTTCTTTATTTTTTTCCCCTGTCCACACCTTATTCTTCTGCTCCAACAACAAAGCCTTGTCCATCAGTTCCGTTAACCCACTGGTCTGGTGCAACTTCAGTTCCGTGCTAATTTCTTTTTTAAGGCCATTGAGAAACACTCCTTTTAACATCCATTGGTCAGCAAGTTTGAGAGGAGCTACAACCATTTCAAAGTGATCCCGGTATTCCATTACAGAACCAGTTTGCCTAATACTGAGCATAGGACCGAACGGATTCTGCACTAAGGCAGGTTGAAAATGCCGGAACAAAGCATCTTTGAAGTTAACCCAAGAATGGTCATCAGTCTGTTCATCCCACCATTGGTACCAGTTCAGAGCTTTTCCGGCCATGGCTATCAAGATTATTTCTACTTTATCCTCTTCTGCCACACGATTGAGTTTGAAATAGCGCTCAACCCTAATCAGCCATCCATAAGCATCGTCTCCACTAAAAAGTGGTAAATCGACCTTTCTTCCAGTATATACACGGTCGTTGATTCTCTTCTGATAAGGGCTGCGTGAAACTGAGTGAGTTTCATGAGATTTACCTTCAGAACTAGAGGAGCTCACGCTTGCTGAAGTATGGCGACGACGGTTTGTGGTTGATCGTCCTCTTCTCTTATGGCGGTCACCCTATAACATGATATTCTTCAATTCGGCCACGGTCTCACGCAAGCCAAGCAGTTCATTCACGGCAGTTCTCACTTCCGCTAGGGTGTTTTCCAGATTTTCCACACGTTGCTCCATTCCAGATCGGGTCAAGACCATGCGCAGGTAAGGCTTTTGTCAATGGCTTTGATACCAATGATAAGTAACGGAAGAATCCAAGAAGAAAGTAGTAGTTTATTAATGAAAATTTAGTGAAGGAATACAGAAAGTCACGAAAGGAAAGGTTTGAGACTCTTCGAGTGGTCTCTCACTCCCAATATCCCAGTCCTGATCCCAAGTTCTGCCCCCCCATCTAATCCCCACTCACCCTTATTTATTCTATTTCTAATGGGCCAGCCCACTTCTAATAAGTTGTAGGGCCTAAACCCTATTATTGAACAAAACTAAAATGACTTAATAAGGCTCTAATTCTTGGTAGTGTTCAGGACCCTAACAAAGTAGAACTCGTTCAATTCCAAAAAAAAAGTTTATTAAGTACTTTTATTCATTATGGGTTTTTTTCAACAATATTATCAAAATAAAACTTATTTACAAAAATATGACTAATAGTTACTACAATGTAGTGTCATGGTAACTTAAGTTTAAAAATTGAACATGAGTTACTATAATTTCATTACTACTCTGGTCATTAGTCACATTTTTGTAAATAATCTTCATTTTAGTCATAAAAATGTAATTATTTCATTCTTTATTAGGACTGAATGGGTCTTAGTTGTAGTACAAGCAAGGATACTCTTATATGCATATGAGTCATGTTTTACTCTTATTTGTGGTTTATCACAGGAAGTTCCCTGGAGAACCGGCAGAAAGAAACAAATTACATATCTTCTGCAGAAACTACAAAAAATACTTCCTATGAATATAGCCATCAGTTTGGTTTCAGTATTAAAAAAGCAGTTCAACTCTGGAAATGTCTCAAAAAGGAAAAACAAAGTTAAATTGTTAACAAATCTCACATCATGACTACAATACCCATAATACACCAAACAACTTTGTTTTTGAGGTCGAAACTCATGCCTTTTTATATAAATTGGTATGAGCATGTTATGCACTTACGCTGATGTCTAGTTGGCTATCCTGAGGGGCTTGCTGGATTATGAAATTGTCATAGTTCACGCACTATACAAGAGTGAAATTTCCTTGTCTTATGGAATGTTTGTTACTCCCTCCGTCCCAAAATTATCTTCATTCTTTCCATTTCGGTCCGTCCCAAATTTATCTCCTCTTTCCCTTTTTGGTAAAGAATGTGTGGTTCACAACCATCCTTACACATTCTTACACATTTCTCTCTCCTCTGCACAACTCTCCACCACACAAATCTCACTATCTTAAAACCTGTGCCCAGTCAAAACCGGAGTTGAGTATGGGACGGAGGGAGTATATTTTACAACATATTATGAACCCTTACTACATTAGTAGTGAACACAAATGAAACTATTTGAAGCAAGAGTACTGACCTGCAATAAAGATGCTGACAACAATTACTTCTTCTTTCCATTTGCCTGCCATGAGAGACAGTTCGGCAATTCCCAAAGACAGACCTCCAGCAGATAAAGTCCCAATTGCCCTATTAAATCCTTTACTAAGGGTTGCCCCTGTCCAATGATGCATATAAACTGTCTGAGAACACATTGAACAATTATGCTCATAAAAGATTACATTTTCAGCTCCAAAATATACCGTACATCTGGTTGTAATTCTACATCATTGTATTTTTGTACTTCTACATGAAATTACTCAATTTGCAAAGTTGCTCATCTCACAGTGCTGATATTTTCTTTGTTCTTCCTATTTGCATTCTATACATTGCTTATTTGAGTATAAGGTGTACTCTATTGCATTTGTAAGACACTTATTTGATAAACCATGTTCAAGATACAACACGGAGACTCATAAATGGACGAGTTAAGAAGCCATTACCCTGAAATATAAGAGACATACACTAGGATATGCTTATTAACATTATAAATATAAATATAAATGTAAGGACCTGTTGCTGTATGATAATATGTAAGAAATACAAAAAAAATATAAACATAATTTTTTAAAATAAAGCAATATTTTTAAAGTTTACGTGATATATTACGAGAATAGAACTTTAAATTGAAAATTTTCTATGACTAGTTTACTGCAAAAATATGTTAAAATGTAAGTAAAAACTGCAACCAATAATTCAATATCGGGCATTTAGGCAATTCATACTTCATTCAAACACTTAAAAAATCATACGGAGCAATATAGTAAAATTGCTGTTAGGAATTAAATTTGTAATTAGTGGCATCATACACAACAGAAACATATTTTATCATGCGGGTGTCTAATTTTAGATAAATGAAGACACAGATTAAAAAATGTTATTTGATATTTATCTAATTTGTTTAAGTTTGATCAGAACTAGTCTGACGGTTGTTCTATGTTTATTTTACAATTGCGGAGTTTGGTGCGATCTAATGAATGTATGTTCTATGTGTATTTTACCGATGTCAAATTCTGGTCTGGTGTGGTGTGCTTAAGTTTGCTTCGGTCCAACTAAAAAGTAAAAACATCCTTAGAAGTGTTACATGAAAGTGAGCAAAACAAGGAAAAGTGAACAATTATTGACAATAATGGTATCATTTGTCAAATTAATTAGATTAGATGATGTCATGGACATTACCTATGCTGAATTCGAAGACGACAACAACTGTGAGGATAGCCCAAACATAGTGATTGCCAATGTAGCTGAGAGGTTCCTTAAAGAATACGAGGAGAGAAACGAAGGAGAGGGCTAATCCCACCTTAGCTGCAAATATGACCTTGCGCGGATCTTTCCGGCCCATTTCACAGGCCTTCATCCATGCTCCCTTAACATCTCCGAAGAACTGAGAAATCCTGTCCCGAAATCCGTAGAGACAACCTTGATCTGGGGATTGGTGCCGGACCCCGAATCCCAATTCTGAAGAATACCCGTTTTTGGATATCAATCTTTCTCTGCTTTCTTGCAGGAACATATTCATCGAAGATTCAGATTCAGTGATGTTTGCTGCCATAGTTTCTGGAATCGAGTCTCATGGAGAAGAAGATGTATTACGTAGTACTAGTATTTCGTTTTCTTTGGCACTCCATTATTAGTCTTTTTATCTATACATGTGTAATAGAAAATGCCCTTGCTCAATTATTGGTCCACTTATTTAGTATATCTAAAAACACTACATTTCAGAGAGATAATTATCCTGCTCAATTATTACTCCATTTATATCATCTTATTTTATACCTAAAAGCACTACGTATAAGAGAATAAATTCTTTCGCTCATTTATTATTCCGCTTATCTTATACGGAGTACAAAAATATTACATATGAGAAAGAAAATTCATCCGTTCAACTATCTGTTGTTACCAACCATTATTATGAAGTTGAAATTTACCTATTTGAAATGTCACATACTAATAAGTAGATAATAAAGAAATACAATGTTGTAAAGATAGATTTGCTTCATGGTCGATTTGCATTCTCAATTGAAATTTATGATGTACATAATTGTAAATAATCAATCAAATATGTGTTTGGACATTGTATAAGACGAAGTCTATAATTATGCGATGCATTCTTTAATAGTGGTGATTACTGGCGTGAGGTGTCAAACACACACAAATGAGGGAGAGTGACGGTGTAAATCTTCCTAAGGGGACTACGGTAAGGTATATTTTGATTTTGGTTAAACATGAATTTAATGATTTCAATTTCTTTATTAATGACCTGTACGTATAACTCTGTATAAAGTGCACCTATTCATACAACTCATAATTGATTTTTGGTTTGTAGTAACACTCTAAAGTGCATCATTATATACAGTGTGATTTTGAATTACTTTGCATTTTTTAGCATTGAATAAATATCATCCTTGTCACTAAAAAAGTCATTAGTAAGGTTAGAGAAAAGTCTTTTAACTACCAGAGACCCACAATGAACAGTAAAAGCGAAATCCTTGCAATGAAAAAACAAGTCTTTCATTTTTTTCGTATTCGTCCCTCTCTCTTAAAAAGAAAAAAAAAATAAAAAACTTAAGAAGTTATTTTTTATAAGCACCTGATGTGATTATTATTTTCGAGCCCATTTTAGCTATCATGTGAGAAATAAATAAAATGACCCTCTATACTTCAGTTGGAAAAGTAATTTAGACCTTACTTATTTTAATTATTAAATACTTTAATTAGAAAATGTTTTGAACTAATTCTAACATCATTTGGATTTTTTAAAATGAAAAACGTATTTTTTCATTTCTTCCCGTTGATGTGTTGTATTACTCCCATTTATCAACTTTAACAGATCAAGTGATATTTAAATTGGTGATTTCATCCACCAAAAATAATAGCAATATTTCCTAACATAAGTTTTATATGTAAGAATTTCCCATTTTATTATAAATTAAAAATATATATATAATAGAGTAAATGTAAATGATTTGTAGTAGATTTATGCATGTAACAACATTTTTTCTAAGTGGAGGGATTTCGGAGTTAGACATGGACTAAAAATAAAATAGTACATACTATAGAGATGAAAAACAAAAACAAAAATATTGTGCGGACCTAAAACAAAGTATGTCATATTTGCAAGGACTAAAAATGAAAATTTTGATGTAGCTCTGAAAACTCCCATTTAGCCTATCCATGCCATTTTTGAATGATGCTTAACTTTCTTTTCAACATCATTCCACCTTCCTATAATTCACTTGTGACTATTACCGAAGTCGGTAGACATATTCCCCATTCTAACTTTCAATGTAAGTGACTTGTGGAAAAAATTAAGCATAAAAAATTGGTATGGAAAACCTAGACTGAAGCTCTTGGGAGCAGCACCAATTTATATACCCCTTATTTTTTAAATAGAAATTGACGTGAATGATAAAAAAGAAATAAGGGTTATTTCGATCGAGATCTCCTAATTTCAGTGGCGCAATATTATTGCATATGATTAGATCAGACGGAGAATTCTAAATGTAAGCAATAAGGGTGACAATCGCAGGCAATATGCGTCTGAGATGAGTGCGAGCAGAAGATAAAGATGGAAAGAGGAAGAATTTTTGGGGGGATGAAGCAGCGACCTTTCAAATTCGTTCGTGAGCATCACGCTAAAAAATTTGGCAACCACGTGGCAGAAAGGTGTGAAGGGAGAGAATAGTGGGAAGGGGAACACGTAAGCTTGAATGAGGACATAATTGTATTTTAATGATGAGTAAACTATTTCTTTTCTTATATATAAATAGATTCGTTCGTGAGCATCACGCTAAAAAATTTGGCAACCACGTGGCAGAAAGGTGTGAAGGGAGAGAATAGTGGGAAGGGGAACACGTAAGCTTGAATGAGGACATAATTGTATTTTAATGATGAGTAAACTATTTCTTTTCTTATATATAAATAGATAGATATCATTTAAAAAATGGAGTACAATAAGTTAATATAAAAAAGTATAAATCCATACCACAAATATTCAAAGTAAAAGAAAATTAAAGTAAAAAAATCAACACTATCCATTAGAATTTTATACGTAATAATTAGCATTGTTGGCAACAAATAATAAAATATTGAACGTAATTATTAGAGTTTTGAAAAACTGCTTTAAAGAGAACTTTTAACATCTAATTTCTTTCTCTTCTTATAATGTATTAATAAAATCATCAATCCATATTTTCTCTCTCGATAACGCCATACATATAAAGCTTTACATGACTCAAATATGTCTGGGTAGAAAAATTTCTTCTTTTTCCAGTGATAGAGCTAGAACTTTATTGATTGTCATCACATATGTTACGATTATAGAAAAATGTCTTCACATAAGCTTAAAAGGTCTTGAGATAGAAAATATGAGATAGGAAATTCTCCCAATCAATTTTTTTTTGCTTATCTTATACCTAAAAACACCACATATGGAAAAAAAATCCCGCTCAATTATTAGTCTGCTCACCTTATATTTAAAAGCACTACATATGAGAGTGAAATTTTCCAACTCAATTATTAATCCGCTTATCTTATCTTATATCTAAGAGCACTACATATGAGAGAGAATATTTTTCCACTACACTATTATTAATCCGTTTATATTCTTATACATAAAAGCACTACATATGAGACAGAAAATATCCAGGTCAATTATTAGTCTGCTTATCTTATTTTATGTTATACCAAAAAGTACTACAAATGAGAGAGAAAATTTTCTCGCTCAATTATTAGTTCGCTTATCTTATATCTAAAAATACTAAATATGAGAGAGAGAATTCTCCCGCTCAATTATTAGTCTGTCTACACCTTATACTTAAAAATAATACATATGAGAGAAAATGTCCCCGCTCAAATGAAAAAGTTATAACACTATAAAACATTAGTTTTATTAAAGAGTTAAATTATTATTTATATATTTATACATACAATATTGGTGTCATATGAAAGATAATAAAAAATATGAAATTTGATATGATTTTTGCGACAATAAGATTACAAATAAAAAAGATGTAGTACTTCAAAAAATTAAGGGATTTTATTTGATTGGGAGCTATCATTTGTTTTAAGAATTTTAATCTAGTAATAAAGAGGTGAGAAGCACTGCTGAATTTTTTTGGTGAGTTAGTTTAGAAAGCCACATGGCATTTTTATAGGAAATGAGCAAATTGTGAAGGAATTGACAAATAGGATTCATTAAAGGCATAATTGTATTTTAATGAGCTGTTTCTTTTCTTATATAGAAATAGATCATACAATTGTAAACTCAGAGACGTTATATTGTTTCTATAAAAAGAACGTCACATGGATAGCTTCAAACAAAAACAAAAGAAAAATGTTGAACCACGGCCACACTGTACCAAAAGAAATCTGAAATCAATTACGGATTTACGGACCGTAGTAGAGATCCATGGAAAATAAAATCAATCAATTCAAAGTGAGAAAAATAAAATTGACCCCTTCAAAATATATTTTTGTATGAAAATACTCTGACAAGCAATTGGCCCATTCAAAGTGACATGGAATCTAATACTCTCTACTTTGTATGAAAATAAAATCAATCAATTCTCATTACGTATTCATCCAATCAATCAAGTTTTTCACTTCAACCCAACACCGTCAATATATTCACTCAGCACATTGTTTTTCTAATTAAATCCTTTTCTATTATTATAATAAAAAATTATCAATATTTCTTTTGTGAATAATTATAATTTAAAAAATCAAACATTCTGATGTAAAAATAAATAAATTTGGATGTTAATTTTTTTTGTAGTTTCAAACCTACTTTGTAAAACATAACAAAAAGATGTAAACAAAATTATCCATGAGATCTTGATTTTAACATTTGGATCTATTCAAGTAAAAAAATTAGCCTATACATTTCAAACAAATGAAACTACATAATTTTTTAACTTTATATATATACATGATATTGGTGTCATATGAAAGATCATAAAAAATTATGAATTTTGATATATTTTTTAAAAACATTGGATGTGAAATAAAAAAGTTATGTTATTTTTTTTAAAAAAAGTGGGATTTTTAATTTTTATGGGGCCATTTGTTTTCCCTTACCTGCGCATATCAGGAGAGTCAATCCTCCGCCCAAAACCCCCACCAGTTCCTTCTCCCTATTAGCTATGAGACCTTAGTATACAAAAAAACGTCCGGGTTGCAGCTCATTTGGGGTGAAAACCTCACATTTGGGGTTTTCACCCCTCCATTGCAATCAGTCTTAGAGGAATTTGGACACAATTTGAATGTATTAACTTTACTCTTTTAAAATAATATATTTGTCTCTTCTTCTAAATTTTTGTTTACTGCGTACTATTTTAATGATTCACTTTGTATACTACGTGGTATTATATAAAAAATCCCAAAATTTCTAATAATGAACTTTTGTACAATATTTTGTTATAACTATGACGAGGGGTGTATCCATTGTATGGATGCATTGTGGAGTGAGGACATTTTCCCCCTTCAATCCCAACCATAAATCTCAAATATATGAAAATTTTCTTCCCTATAAATCCTATTAAAAGAACAAAAGGATAAAATTTTCACCGGATTTTGTAATGTTCAACTTCTATTGCGGTAATTTGCTCAAACTTTATCTACGATTACATCTTTGCACACACGTAATATAAATTCTTCTTCTTTTTATACATA